CGTCATTGCTCAACCCTCTGATTTCCTTGAACTCCTATAGAGTATTACATGCATGAGTGGAAGCCCTAGAGTCAATACACCAAGAGGCAGAAGTCATTGACACTTTGCTCCAGCAGTCATTGACACTTCTCCACTATCTACTAACTCTGCACCTATTGTACCATCCACTTGCATGATTGCATGTGCTCAACATGGGATTTTTAAACCAAATCCTAAATATGCCTTACATGCCAATTCCTTGAGCTTGAGCCCACTTTCTATACACAGGCTCAACAAGATGGGTCGTTGCCATGGTTGATGAGTACAAGGCGCTTCTTCAATTCACAATAATACTTGGACTCTAGTTCCTGCTCCTCCTGACAAAAACATCGTCAGAATTTTTTGGGTCTACAAAATTAAGAAATGAGCAAATGGTTTCATTGAGTTCTTCAAAGCATGTCTTTTTATTAAAGGGTATACTTAGGAGGCTAGCATTGATTTTGATGAAACCTTTAGTCCTATTGTGAAACCCACAACTATTCACATCATCTTATCTTTTCTCCACGATAAACTACAAGAGGAGGCTACATGAAATAGCCCATTAGCTTCATTGATCCTCACTTCCTTGATTATGTTTGTTGCCTCAATAAATTTTCGTATGGCCTTAAACAAGCTCCTTGAGCTTGGTTCACTCAATTATGAGATCAATTACTTCTCTTGGGGTTCATTGGATCACATGCAGAATCTTTTTATTCTTTAAGCATGATGGTGACTCTATTTTGTTGATTCTCATTTATGTGGATGACATTTTGATAACTAGAACCTCCCCATATGCTATTGAGGATAAGTAAAACCACATATCAGTAGTTAACCACTATTACCAATAGATACAAGTGATGAGATGACACTGTTGGTGATCTAATTCCCATTCCCATGAGGATGAGGCCCACACACTAATCCAACTTGAAATAATATATGGGAAATCAACAATGTTCAAATTCTCTGGTTTGATTGAGAAAGAATGGGAAGGAAAGGTTGGGTTTGTCGTATGGTTTTTAAAATCGGACCGGACCGGATGGTCGGAACTAGAAAAATCGGGAACTAGTCTGTTTTCCCCCAAAACCGTTGATTTTGGTCAGTAAACCGCTGAACCGTCCAGTTAATCGTTCGAACGGTTTTGACCATTTTCCAATTTTTTTAATTTTTTTTTTGTCAGAACGAGCTAGTCGTTCGGGTCGAACGGTCGGATCGTTCGAACCAATAACCGGACCCCTGACCGGTTCATTTTTAAAAACCATGGTTTGCCGTCATGTGTTGCCGATGAGTTCATTGGAGAATTCATGATGAAACAGTGGAAAGCTTCTCTAAGATAGGGGTTAGGGTTCCTTCAAGTTCTCTTCGAATGGGAAATAATGGAGGAGTTTGGGTATTAGGTTTTGCATGCTCATATGAAATCACTTCTTCTATGCCCTTAGTAGTTAGTACAGGAATTTTTTTTGTATTAGACCAATAGCAATCTGCTACACCATTTAAAAAATTCACTTTAATTTTGAAATGGGAAGAAGAGGCTGGTGTGGCAAATTGTTATTGATATGGTCTAGAAAATTTTCTATACCAAGGTAGAGAATGTGAACTCGTAATGCATACTTGTGTTGATATATACATGGCACTAGACCTATTCATGGGCCAGGCCGGGCCGGGCTTTCATTTGTCACTAATGAAAATATACCAGGCCTGAGCCCAAGCGCGGCCCGACCAACGGGCCTATAACTTGGGCCCGAGCCCGGCCCTGGTAAAAAGCCCGAAACCCGAGCCCGAGCCCGAAGCTCGACCTAATTGAAAAAAAAAAACAATTTTCCCTATTCAAATTAGAATTAAAAAATCAGATAGTATTTTTTTTCTATTTAAATGAACAATGAGCCTCCAAGATGGTATTTTCCCTTTCTTTCATATTTTAAAACAATTTATATTCTTAAATCAAAAAATTTATTCAAATGGACATAATCACATAACTAATTTTAAGTTTAATATTAGGTCGGGTCGGGCCGGGCTCGGGCCGGGCTATTTTGACAAAACCCGAGCCTGACTCAAATTTATTGCGGGCTGGGCTTTTTGGCCCGACTTTAAGCCCGCGGGCCTATAAACATGTTCAAGCCCGTCCAGGGGTCGGGCCGGGCCGGGCCGGCCCGTCGGGCCACCCGGCCCATGAACATGTCTACATGGCACCCTCTCGTGTTGTTAGGATTAGATCCAGATTTACATTGAAGCAAGGTTCTAAATATCGATACGCCCAATACACCGGTAGGGGTGTATCAGGTGATATCGATAGTGTTTTTTTTTATTTTTTTTATTTTTTTTCAAAACCAGTTCAGGGGGACCGGTTTAAGGCTCCTCCACCCTCTGAACCGGTTAAAACCCCATGAGGATGTATCGAGGAGCCCCCGAAATGATACGTATTGACCGATACAAGCCGATACTTTGAACCTTGCATTGAAGGCCCGATAAAACTAGGTGCAATAGTATAGATCTCCCCTCCTTTAAAAAGGACTAACACCAAGTTTTGCACATGCTTCAAGTCAATTACCTAATTATACAAAATCAATTATCTCCTTTTCAAATCGAAGAACATTCATAGTAAATTCCAAAAAAAATATGTAAAAAATTCTTAAAAGATAAAGAATGATTAAGTATTTGGGTGCCCCTATTATTTGATGGTAAAGTCTCAAAGGATCTTTTTAAATCCCTCAATGAGAGAATGACTAAGAACCTGGCTGGGTGGAAGAGAATCACCAAGAGAATCACCCTCTTCCTTGCTGGCAAATTGACATTAGTGAATTCTACAGCTAGTATGGTCCCCCAATTTATTATGCGATCATTTAAAATGCCCAATAATGTTATAAATGATATATGGAGAAAGCTCAGAGAGACTTTATATGGTTAAATTCGAGAAGCAATAACTCGATACATTTAGTTAACTGGAAAAGAGTTTGTACATCCAAATCTATGGGAGAGCCTAGGTCTCAAAAGTCTAAGATGGATCAATAAAGCTTTCTTGGACAAGCTTGGACGGAAAATCATTACAAATAAAGAGAACTTATGGGTGAGGGTTGTGAGCTGTAAGTATTTAAATAAAATTAGTTTTTTTATTTTTTGAGAAATTAATCCAAAAAAAAGGTATTTCATGAACTTTGAGAGGAATCTAACCTCTAGAGAGCTGCTCATTAGAGGTACCATTTGGAAGGTGGGCAATGGGAAATTTATTTTCTGGAAGGATACATAGGCTGACAATACCGCTATTATCGATGAAGTGAATCCGGATGGTATTGAAAATTTGGAGATGTCAGCATGTGATATGATTGACCAAATGGCCAGGAGAGAAACATATGGAAGGAAGATCTCATTAGAGATTTAGAGCAATTGTTCCTAATTCTTCCTGGTCTCGCATCAAACCCATTTTGATCCTGACTATTAAAACAAATGATGAGTTTGTTTAGAAATTTATCTGTAACGCAACCAATGGTAATTTCTCAGTCAAGACACACCAGTACTTAAGCGCTGCAGCACAGTAATGTAACACTGGTGATGGTGAAAACGATGCTGATAAACCAGCGTATCAACACTTTAACCAAAACACTCAAGGCATGAGAGGTTTCTAGAAGTATGTTGTAATTGAGGCGTGAAGTTCTCATGCATTCAGATCATCCCTGTGTGTAAGCTCTGCTGAACTGAATCCTCGGCCTTCTCACAATCTCCATTAAAGCTTTTTGTAACTCTGCCCTTTCATGCCATCTATCATCTTTGACCCCCACTATTGCCTTACCCCCCCCCAGCCCAGAAAAGCTGTGGCGCCAAATCCAATTTTTGGCAAAACATTTTTACTTGCTGATGTGGCATGCAACAAAGCCAAATGGGTTTTCGTGTGACAGAAAATGTTTTTTTTTTTTTTGCCTGTTGGGTGTCTTTTAAGAACCAAATCGCATGTGAAACGCCATGGTGCCAAGCACCATTTAATATATATAAAATTATCCTAAAAACTGGTATGTTTGGTACAAAAAACTTTGTATGTTGTTAAGAACATTCTTGAGAATGCCACGTTACCATAGAGTGGGGTAAAATAGTAACTGCTCCCTATTTTCATTTGACCAAAACGATAGACATGGGCGTGAATGGTTGAATGTTTCGAGCCATTAAAAGCTCTCTAACAGCATAGGCTGTTGGCCCCCAAAAGCCAAAATTATCCCTGTATCGCATCCATATTTGAAGCTTCTATGGCCGCTGTTGGCCACCAAAAGAGGAACTGAATCAGCACAAGCGCACAACCAAAGCCATTGTTACCAGCCTCACTAGTTTCTTTCATTGAATCGATGTTCATTTTCCTACACTCGATTAGGCAGAGTTATTTTATTAGTTTTGGCATGAGCAAGCAGGGTAACGAATTTGGGATCCTCTATAGGACTTCCTAGTTTACAGAGTACAATAATCTTGTAAATGACAACCATGGAATTTGTCTTAAAAGATAACAAGTTGCATAGAAATGCAAGGTGGACGAGACTGAAAATGAGTGGGGCAGTCTGGTTGTAAGGTGCAGATGTGTAGTGGTGGTGCAATGAAGACAAGGGAGAAAATATAAGGAAAATACGAGATTAGGTTGAAAGAATTTTCCTCTTAGGCTCTTACTATTATATTCAATTTTAAAATGCTTCTTAACAAAGGTGTAAAAGTCACACGCTCAAAGGACACGTCCTGATTTCAATGAAGATTGAGCAACGGATCCAGGTGATGAGTAACCAGCAGATCCGGAGTGGCATCTAGGGGCTGTGCATTCTGACGACCTGAAATCTGCTGAAGCCCGGATCTGATTCCTGATCCAGCGAAGGAAATGTCTCACCCAACTTTTCTATAAACTGTAGTCATCCAATAAAAGAATAAAAAAACTTTTCTATAAACTGTAATCGAAACTTCACTAAAGCTTATGGTGGCACTTGGACTTGGTTTCAACTTCAAGAATGAGAATCAGAAAATAGGAATAGCAAAAATATATCTGGACGTTTTAAACACTGATTTTCTAATCCACAAATTTGCCCATTCACTGGGGAACCTTACAGGCTGTATCATAGGTAAACAGAATTCCTACTTCAATCGATCTGTTCCTTTTCAGGGAAATAAACAAATACAAGCATGTTGACATGAATATGTAGAACCCGAATGAAGCAAGAATACCCCTTCCACATCATACGGGAGATACAGAATCTGATAAGGATGCTGTCATGTTTGACTTTTCATTCAAAGGTTGATAAATTTGACACAAATACAAAGACTAGAAGATGCCTAGATAACATAGAAATACCATGTACACTGAGCTCATGTATCTTCATTTGGTGACTTGAAATTCAAATAGCATCCTCATGAATCTGAAGACAATGTGTTCCAACAACCACAAATCATGTTATCATGCAAGTTCACTAGGCCGTCTTTGCCCTCTTATTCCTCTTGCTAGAAGCTTTACTTTCCCTCAAAACTTTTCTTTTTTCTTCTCTGCATGAAGTTCATAAATACAAAATAAGACAAAAGGCATCCATTTTCTTCCAAAAACAGATAAGCTGATAACATCATGGTTTTACAGGAATAAACTGAAATGCAATTATCCTTGTGGGGGAAAAAACGAGGTGGGCATGAATGAAAATGCCTCTTACCTTGCTTTTGAAATTTCTTTTCGAGATGGGAATTTCCTTTTCTGTTTCTTCATCTTAGTTGTGGAATCAGACTCATCCTTTCCATTCTTGGGTATTCTCTTTCCTAAGCCACCATCAGACATTTTGTTCCTATCCTTGAGATCACTAGGAACTCTGAGTTGTTGAGATTTTTCTTCCAGGTTGTTCTTTATATTAGTTCCATTATCGTTAGGCCCAGTTGCCTGCTCTACTGCTTCTTCTGTTTCAGATGGTCTTGTTGTTGGCTTAGAATTGCTCATCTTCTTGAACTGAAGAAACAATATTACCCACGTTATTCTGCTTGTACCAATAAAGCAGTGATCAAATAATCCAAGATTGCACTCATATTTTATACGGAGAAAATTTCCTTTAACATTCACAAAGTGGTTAGACTTGAGACTGACAACACACCCCATAATGTATGGTAGTTCAGCCCATGGTTGTCAAGGTTACGACTGATGACTAGTCAGGCGCTTAGGCAACAAGTTTTTTTTTTTGACGTTAGTGTCTCACCTGGGATTTCCATAATCGCAGGTCTAACAATTTTAGGTATAGTGCAGCTAATGAGGGGGGCATAAAAGAACATCATGAAAGACCAGATTTCAACTTAGAAAAGCAATGGGTTTTCCCCCTCCTTTTGTTCTTTTTTATAAATCCCCTTTAATCACTCTAGTCGTGATCATAACAAGCGCTCTGCCCCTTCTTTTGTTCCCTTTCCTCAGTAACACACATACTGATGTATTTTGTCCTCTATATCTCTTTCAAATTCAAAACAATAATAATTCTGTCCTTTTATATGTTTTTTTTTATTTTATTTTGACACAGACATTCTCTTTGTATATCCCTCTTGAATTAACAAAATATAGATCCATCTCCTAATTTTCCACAGGTTATGTAATATTATTTGAATTCTAATTTCAGTGTTTGATTATACCATTTAGATCACTTGATGTTTTCTATTGCTACACCAACTAGGGGAACAACATAATTCACAAAAATTGGGAAACAAAACGAAGTCAAATCAGATTTTAATCAGATATTACCCAGATTCAAGTTTGTTCCATTGACATTTGGAATTCAAGGAGGAAAGCACAAAGGAATTTTCTAGAAGGGTCAGTCAACCAAATGTTGCATTCAATAGAGGAATTGTTATCCAGAGTAACATGGGTAATACTTGTTTCAGGGGATTTACAATGTGATAGCTAGCTAAGGGCCGAAAAAGTTAATTTGTAATGAATTGCCATTAGAGAACTGAGGAGATGGGAGAGTTTGTGGAGGTAGGCCGCTGGAGAAAAGCCTTGAAGATTGAAACTAAGGAGCTGCTATTTGAGGAGCTGAGATTAAATGGTAAGCTGAGCTTGAAGATGGGAAGCAAAGAGAGGGATGGTGCTGTTAGAAGGGTTCAAGGAGTTTGTAGAAGGTGCAAGTAATAAAGGCAAACAAAGTTGTTGGAAAGAGTTTCTCTCAGAAACTGGAAGAAGATTTGTTGTAGAATGTAAGAGAAACCTTAAAGGTTATTTTATATCTTTGACAGAATTCTTTGGCAAGGGAAGAAAGCAGATGGTCTGCCTATCAGAAGGAAGGAAGAGTCGGGGCTGGAAGGCAGTCCATGGGGTCTTATGTAAACTGCTGCAACACTTGGGTGCTAAAAGAGAAGAAACAGTAAAAAGGAAGATAAGCACTTCTACTAGTCTGGTGAGAAAAAATAAGCAGGAGACTCTATTAGTGACAGCTGGGGCAGGCAAATACAGAATGGGAGTAAACATACAGAGAGGAGATTGGGAAAGTAAGCTGATAGTTAAAGCTTCAGCTCATATACTAGACTGGAGGAAAGTTGCAGATCTATTAATAGCAAGTTTAAAGCTGAAGAGTAYGYTTATTTTAACACCCTTTGAGAAGGATAAGGCTGTGTTGGATCTGCTGGAGAATAGAGTAGAAGTTGAGGCATTAAATATCCAAGCTGATCTTGGAAGCTTCACAGTATCAAGATGGTGTCCGGGATCAAACTCCAAAGATTTCTTTGTTGAAGATGGAGTGCTGGTACGTCTCTTAGGCCTTCCCTTTAACTTGTGGAAGCAGGAAGTTGCTGAAGCCATTGCTTTGATGTGTAGAGGATCTTTAGGAGGTGCCTTTTGGGGAGACCTTTGTTCAGCCTCCATTTTATTGAATGGTGTAAAACCTGAGGAGATTCCTTAAAAGATTGAGGTGCTAGTTGAAGGGCTTTTCTGTTCAGTGTGGTTGGCTTCATCCTTTGAATCGGTGCTCTGGAAGGAGGCTCGTAGGGAGGGAGATGAGAAGGTTGAAGAAGTACTGCGTGGCAAGAAGGGATTGGTTGATTCAAACAAGAAAAGAACTTTAACAAAATGGAAAAACCAAGACTGGAGAAACAAAAGGGTAGCATTCAGGGGGTGGGTTTTATGCGTGTGGGAGCAGTCAACAGTCTGGAGGGTGGCAGGTCCTTTGCACATGTTGTAACAGGCGCCAACTTGACCTGTTTGAACAAGGAAAAGGAGCCGGTCCAAGGAAGAATTGGATCTAGACTGGATAAAACCAAACCGAGACTGGGGTCGGGTGCGTGTGACTCTTTTAAAAGTCACGTGAGGTCGTAGTGGCTTAAAAATGGGCCAAAGCCAAAGCCCATTCGAAACGTCTTGGGTGCGATTAAAGGCCCATTTGGGTCAGCGGGCCCGATCCAGTGGTTTAAGAAGGCGTGTGAGCCTTTAGTAACTCACGTGACTGGGGACACGACTAAGATAGACGATGCTAATGGTCTATCATCGTCCCCAATCGCGAGACAGGGGGGGAACGCACGCAGCGCCAGAAAACAGAGAAGAAGCTCGACTTGCAATAGGTTTCCCGACGAAGGCTGAAGGAGTTTAGCCCCATGCGGCGCTCCTCAGAGAAGCCGAAGCCAAGTTACGTTAAGGGAAGACCTGAAGAGAAGGAAGGTAAGGATGAAGGCTGGGCGTAGTGCAGTGAAGGTGATGAAAACTCAGAGGACTGTTCGGTTGATGGTACTAGTGTGGGCAGTGCAAACGACAAAGGCAGTTGCGCTAGAGGTGACATGGATGGGTGGAATATTGTAAGTTTATTTCAGGGTGACGAAGGTAAGCGGTACAACCCGTTCCCAAGACCACAGAGTGTGCAAGGAGGATCAGAAGGGGCAGACCGGGAAAACCGGAAGCAAAGCAGGAACACACCATCAAGGGGTGAACCAGGGGTAGAGTGGAAAGATCACTAGGGTGACCAAAGAATAGAAGTACTTCCCGACCAACTCAGGGAGATAAATATTTACCAACCTCTGGAACAAGAGAGGGAGGTAGGGAGCAGTCCTTTTCCAGCTTATCCATCAGTCCAAGGTAACCAAGTGATTTTGGTTTGTGCTACTAATGTGTCTCCAGTGTCTTTGGTTCCAGATTCCGTTCCTGCTCCATGTCCTGTAGCCCATGAATATGTAGCTGAGCTAGCAGACGGGCTCTCCGAGGAGGGAGAGATCGGAAGGAAGGAAGGTGGGAAGGTGCCGGAAGGAAGGCTTAGGAGTGAAAAAGTATGGGAAATTATTGAAAGAGTGCTTAAAGAAGTGGAAGAAGAGCTGATCTGGAGAGGGGAAGGGGAGGTAGGAAGAGGGGAGGGGTTAGTGGAGAGGAGGGAAAGGAATGAGGGTAGAGATGGAGAGGACTACAGGGAGAGAGCAGGGTTGGAGGGAGGTAATAGGAAAGGGAGGGTGGATGGAGAAGAAAGAATAGAGGTGGGACCAGAGGAGAGGAAGAAGGGGCAGGTGGATAGAGATGGAGAGGATTTTGTAGGAAGGGTAGGGCTGGTGGACTCGGTGAGAGAAGACATGATAGCAGAATTTGTAGGGAAGCTAGGTTGCAGRTTGAAAGATCTGAATGTGCTGAAAGAAAACTTACAGAAGAGGAAGGAGAAGATCAGAATAAAGAAGAGGAGATTGAGTGAAGTAGAGAGATTGAAGAAAGATGTAGAAGGTGATAAGAGGCTCGAGGTAAAGGGAGACAGGAGGAAAGGGGAAAGTAGTGGTAAGTGGCAAGGGGTTTACCAAGAAGCGGAATGAAGATTCTTAGTTGGAATGTGAGGGGGAATTGGGAGTGCAAGGAAGAGGGCGACAATAAAAGAGGTAATAAGACGGTGTGGACCTAGACATTGTGCTGCTACAAGAATCTAAGAGAATGCAATTTAATGATAAATGGGCAAGGAGTGTATGGAAAGCCAGGGGAATTAGCTGGGTGGCTGCTCCCTCGTGGGGTGCTTCCAGGGGGATTGTAACAATGTGAAAGAAGGATGTGGTGGAAGGTCTGGAGGAGTTGATCGGAAAGTACTCGGTGTCTCTGAAGTTTAAGCAGCAAGAGGATGACTATACATGGGTGCTCACAAATGTTTACRGACCGAATGACTATAGAGAGACAGAGGAGTTGTGGGAGGAATTGGCTGATGTTAGAGGGTTGTGGGATGGGCCTTGGTGCATGGGTGGGGATTTCAATGTGATCAGATTCTCGGAGGAGTCCAATAAGGTTAACCAGAGGGTGACAAAAAGCATGAGGAAGTTTAATAGTTTTGTGAATGCCTTTGAGCTTAAAGAGATTCCCCTAGCCCATAAGACGTTTACATGGTCAAACCTCCAATCTAGACCCATTTGCTCTAAACTRGATAGATTCATGTTCTCTTTGGATTGGGAAGAACATTGGGGAACCTTGGCTTCTAGAGCTCTCCCAAGGGTGACCTCAGATCACTGGCCCATAGTATTATGTAAGGTGGAAAAAAGGTGTGGAGGTCCTACCCCCTTTAGATTTGAAAATATGTGGTTACTTCATCCAGGGTTTACTAACAAAGTGAGGGAATGGTGGCATGGCTGTAACCCACTGGTGGAATGAGAGGGGATGAGATTTCATAAGAAACTACAATTCATGAAAGCAAGAATCAAGGAGTGGAACTTGATGGAGTTTGGGAGGATAGAAGAAAGGGAGATTTGATGGATAAGATTGAAAGCCTTGACTCTAAAGARGAAAGGGGAGAATTTGGAGAKGAAGACAATGATCTCAGGAGAGATTTGAGAAGACAGCTAGAGGATTGTCTGCACAAGGAGGAAATTAGTTGGAAGCAAAAATCTCGATGTAAGTGGTTGCAAAAGGGAGACAGAAACACTAGGTATTTCCATTCTCTAGCAGATGGTAGGAGAAGGAAGAACTTTATCTCCAAATTGGTAGTAGATGGAGTCGAGTTAGTACAACAAGAGGAGATTGCCAGGGCCTGT